AATAAAAAATACCATAGCCCTTGACAACTTGAAAAATCCTCCTACCTTCGACCCCTTCAGCTCGACGGCTTGGATCACCGGTAATAAGCGCGTGTGACCGGGCATCTTCTAGAAAAATAATTGAATAATTTCGGAAACTTCACACAAAATATAATAAAAAATGGATATACCGAAACAAAAACGCTAAGCACAACAATTGCAAACGAAGCTTGCAACCTCAAAAATCGAGAAAGAAAAACGGTTCAGTACAGAAAATCCAGAATAAACAGAGAACTTTACCACAAAAATGGCCACATAGCGTAGAAAACTGCCCAAGACCGATGTAAAGCTACGCATTGCTACTGTAGCAACACGGCGCGAGCCGTAAAATTAAGAATTACGACCTGGCTTTTAGGACCCAGAGGCCAACAGGGCCCGCCCCGACCCCAGAAAATTGAATTAGAAATTGGCTGGACATTCGTTATCCTCTGCTCTCTCTCTCTCTCTCTCTCTCTCTCTCTCTCTCTCTCTTTCTATTTATCTCTCGCTCTATAGCCGTCAAATTATCCGCTTTTTGACAAAATTGGCCGTCGCGAGCCGCCAGTGGTGGTTCGTGCGGAATTGGGTTCGTTCCCGAAATACGAATTCGGGCCAGCCAGCGGGTGTGAATTGGATTTTTCTGGAGGCGACTTGGTGACACAAACAAAGACACCTTTTCTGGAAGACGTGGCGAAGATGGGCGGAGCCGAAAGAATTTGGGGTAAATTCAGTAAAATTTGGGTTGCGTGGGTACTCGTGCGGAAAATTTGGTTACTACAAAGCTGTCTGGGTGGTACGTGGTTGGGTTCGGAAAAAAGTTGAGAAAGGAGGACTTACAAATGAGAACCTAAAAAGAGCACGAAGCCCTCTTGAAAAGCCTCATAAGATTAACGCAAAGTCTGAATAGCATGAGGAGAATTCAAATTAAATAATAAAGTTTATGTTAAAATATTGAAACATTTAAAAAATTAAATAAGTAGAATTTGCTTCAAATTCGCTACAATTTTCGAAATTCGCACAAAAAGCAAAAAAATTAAAAAGCCAAACAACAAATTTTTGAAAACCAAAATGACCAGAATTCGGGTGATTTTTTGCTTTGTCAGCCCCTTGAAACCAAAAAACAAGGACGAGAATCTCGAAATCGCTACTATCCTTTAGTAGATGAAGCCCCAGACGTGTGAAGAACACTTTTTACGAGGTACTTTCGATTTGTTCCGCCTCCCAGGCATCTGGGCCACGGCACGAGGTGTCGCTGCAGTGGGCATAAAATAGGAAACAGAAGGGCTGTATGGAGGTGTCGAAAACAGGAAACACTGGCCTGGGAAAGTGGTTGAATGTTGCGAAATAGAAAAGGTTGAGCCTAAGCCTAAGTCCTAGAATAATCAGAAGCTTAAGCCAACCCCGACCCCAAATTAAGCCTGAGCCTCCCTTTAAAAATTTCCTTAAAAATGGGCACATGCAAAAGACCTAGAAAAGGCGGCTAAATGTTTTAAAATAGAAAATGAGCGCGGTGATCGATTTTCATGGCGTTTCTTTCAAAATTAATGCAAGAAAAAAGGCAGAAAAGGGCGCCACAATCCTGCAAAATGCGTGAGTTCCCCCACCTTGATTGTTTGTTTAGAAGCGTAGCCAACACCAGCGGCAAGCAGCTGTTTGTCGTATCGAACTTCAGCAAACAAAGCATGGAATAAAATGGATAAAAATAGCAACTGAACTTATTCAAGGTGAATTTTTAAGATACAGCATTGGTTTAAAGGACCAAGGAAGGATAAACCGACGCTTCGGTTTTATCGGTCCTAAAGAGAATAGAATCTTAATACGTTTACATGGAGTTTTTATCTGCGATTCTAGTTTTTCCAAGTAGGAAACCAGGAAGTTTTTAAAGTAGAAAACCAGGATTTGAAAACAAGCGTACGAAAATCTAACGAAAAAATCCTCTGCTTTGTTTACCCAGCAAATGAAGGCGCGATTGGAGGGGATAATTACCCTCTATCCAGCAGCAGCCAGCAGCAGTCCCCCTACTGGTTGGGTGTTCCCCGCCAATTTTTCAAGCGTTCTTCCAAACCGACAAGGGGAAGGGGTATCGGATCGGGTCAGCTGTGCCCGGTTGGCGTTTAAGGTTCGGCCATTGGGCGCTTGCAATGAAACTCGTAACTGGATTCGGAGGCCACGAACACTTTTGCTTTCCCAAAAAATTAAAAGAACGAAGTTAGGCACGCTTTTTCGAATTTTCTAGAGCGATTTTTGCCTCAACTTCTTAAATTTAGGCTTAGTTGAAACCTGGAATTTTTACAAAAGCGGGAAACTTAGAAAAACTAACCCAGAAAATACTTGATCCAAGAAATTTTGACAATACTCTAGCTTGATCCAATTGAAAGGCTCAATGGCTCTCGAAAACCTGGTAGGCCACTCGAAATTTGAGCTCAGAAGAGGTCCCAGAATGGATCTCAATAAAGGATACCCCGCCTAACCCAACCGAAACTGGCTTCTAGCTCTTGGTAAATGACTTACAACGCTTAAAAAGGTTATAGACTAGCTCATGGAAAGGAAAAAGTTATTAATTGTCAAAAACAGTCAGAAAAATTCCGAGTAGTATACAATTGGCCAGATGGTACGTTTTTTCTGTCGGAACCGGAAGTAGGGAAACATGAACAACCTGGAACACCACCTCCTAAACATGGAGAAGCAAATCCAATAAACCTCTAGGTAGTGGGCATTGGGTGTGAAGGGATGGGCCACAACTTGGGGGTCGGTTTCTCTCTCTCTCTCTCTCTCTATCTCTCTCTCGCTGTGTCCTGGTCATTTTACAGCCCCGCCACCACACCAGCACCTCTAGGGTCCCAGGGGATTTGGCCCTGGCTGCAACATGTTTCGGAAACAGAGCTTTTTATCTCTATCACTCTCTCTCTCTCTCTCTCTCTCTCTCTCTCTCGCTCTCAGCCCCTCTCCCCTCTGCTGTCTTTACATTTACAAATGGCTCAAATTTTAGTAACTTTCAAAACGGTCGTACCTAAAATGCGATAGGGTCTTGCCCAGCTCACCCTCTCTCTCTCTCTCTCTCTCTCTCTCTCTCTTTTGCCCTCCCTCCCTCTCTCTCCCTCTCTCTCTCGCTCTCTCTTATCACAACCACAAATCTCCCTGAAAATGTCTCAAATTCCAGCCTGGTGGTGACGGACATGTGCAACAGGTGCAGAGTTTTTACAGCGCAAAAATGGCACCAGGTTGCAATACCGGAGAAAGTTTGTGTAAGCTGATCTTTCCGCATATACGAAGTTGGATATTAAGCTGTAGTACGTATGATACTGTAGCGCGTCTGAAAATGCAAAATACATAGCAAGGTAGCTGCTCTATCATTTTAGGATAAAAAACTGGGGAATCGCCAAAGAAATTAATGAAAACCTGCTTAGTTTCCTGCCTTAAATACTTCTATTAACGCCAAATATTTACCACCCAATTGAACATAACAAATCTGGCAAATTGGGCTTGGACACGTTGATGATTGATAATCCAGCAGTGGCCGTTTTTCTGGGCCTCGAGAAATTTTGATGGTGATGGATTTTCAGTGGCCCCGGGCATCAATTTTCTAGCTCAAAAGAGAAAAAATGAGTCATCAAAATCTCTACGAAATTATACTGCGATTAAATTAATTATATTATTATGCAAACTAAATTAACTTAAATTAACTCGGAAGAAAGGCTTGCAAAAACTAGGAAGCAATGGGGTATGCCATGAAAATGGGCGAGCGTTTTTCAGGAAAAGAAAAATCATCAAATATAAAATTTTAACAGGACTCCGAAAAACAACCCGAACATGCCAAACCAGCCAGAAAAGCCAAGTGAAATCTGAGAAATTTGTAGCGACGACTTGCCGTCGACGGGGCGTGGCCCTGCATTGGCAGGTGCTTTTTCGAATCGGAAATGAATCCATCCCTTGGGTCTCGAGGGAGAAGGGGGCAGAAGAAAAGAAGCGGAAGAAAGAGCTGACCCAAGAGGAACCTTGGTTGGTTCCAGATGGCCGCAAGCCGGGCGGAAAATCACTGGAAAATGGGTTAGTAGGAAAACAAGTATTTTGAGAGCGAGAGAGATAGAGATAGAGAGAGCGAGAGAGCGACAAAGAGGGATACCTAAAGAAAGAGAGTTTTTACTTTTATTAATTTATTGCCTTTTTATCCAAATCCAATCTTTATCCTCTCAAAAAATGTAAATGCACAAATTCCTTGTACAAGCTCCATTTATTCGTTTTTCTTGTCCATCGGCGATTTAACCCTTGGTGGCGGTACAGGACGGGGTGCTCCTAGCGACGGTCTCCTCCCTGTCGATTCAACGAATCGATGGACGGCAACATTTGGGGCAGAATTTGGCTGTTAGGTGGCTGTCCGCTGGCGGTAGGTGGTGGATGGTGGTCGTGGACGTGCTCGTTCAGCCAGTAGCAGTTTACCTCGCCTGAAAATATGCGATTTGCAGTTGTAATGCTTCTGAGAAGGAGCTACAGAGAGAGACAGAGACAGAGAGAGAGAGAGAGACAGACCAATTTCGAGACATACCTTTCCCCTTCACATGCACAATTCCTCTCTTCACCAGCCGATACTCCGGAACGTCAAACAACTTCAGGGCTGTGATCTCGCTGGTCTGGATTTGATTTGGCGGACAGTTTGACTGCATCCGGGACGCGAAATTGACCTTAAAAATCGGAAGTTAAAGGGGTATGACACTTACCGTATCCCCAAAAGACAATAGCGAGGTGACCGTAATCCAATGACTCCAGCGGCGATAGGACCGCAGTGGAAACCGATGCGGACTCGGACTTTGAAGTCGGGGAGGTGGAGGACTTGGTAGCGATAGGAGGCCTAAAAAATCTCTATCTCTCCAGCTTTTTCATTCTCTCTCACGCTCTCTCTCTCACTCTCCCTTCTATCTATCTATCTTTCTGACTCGCTCTCTTCCCGTGTCTGGCTTACATCTCTCAATTCCAGCGAAATATCAGCAATTTCGAAGACGTGACGTCCCTCCATTTTCTGTCGGTACACCAGAGGCCACCATATAGGTTTCACCAGTCGTTTCGACCTAAAAATTGACCGGATGTACTTTAAACTATAGCTACCGCTAGATGGTACAATCTCAGATGGAAAGAATTACCTTATAAGCATCATGAACTTTTACAATCTCATCGAAGAGTGTAAAGGTATCGTTGAGGAATGTTACGATCTAAAAAAATGTTAAATTTTGATTTTCAGAAGAAGAAACATAAGTTAAATTTGGTCTAGAAAGTATGAGTTCTTACCTGTTCTGCATTACTCTTCGAGCACAGCGTGTTGAAGTCCATGATCTGGCAGAAGAGTACGGTAACGGAATCGTAGCTTCGTGGTGGGACTAGGCCGCCTTGCTTCAGGACTTGGGCGACGGTTCTGAAAGGTAATGAGGTCAGAAACGCAGTAAGTCTAAGGTCACGAAGCTTCGTCTCTCACGCTCGCGCGTCTCTCTCTCTCTCTCTCTCTCTCTCTCTCTCTTTTCTCTTTTCCACTTACGCAGGCAGCATCTCGCACAACAGTCTATCCGTCTGCTCCTGTGCCACCTGCAACATAGCATTCCGTTCGGCGACTATCTTCTCCAAATTTTGCGCATACTTCTCATTCATTTTTATCATTTGATCCACCAGGTTTCCTTTTCTAAAGCACCATTGAAGGCAAAAAATATAGCTTACGCTGACACAAAAGCCTTTTGTACCGTCTGATTGATCAATCGGAGCTTAGGGCGGCTTTCCGGGGTTGGGCGCCAGCACTCTTGCATGATCTAAAATGGTTGATCTTTGTAGTGCCAATATTAGTTGATCGTAAACTGGAGTGTAGCGTAGCTTAAAGCACTGTGTAATTTGTCACTTTCAGGAGCTAACAGCCTACTATACCTGTAATAAAGCATCGCCCTCGGAATGGACTTCCGGTTGAAGATTGTTATTCATGATTTGGTCGAGAATTTCTGAAAGTGAAAGGTATTTTTTTTTTGACGTTCTTCTACTTCATTGCTGCTTTCCAAGTTTAAGTTGATCGTTTTATGGTTATAAATCAGTAGAATTTTAACAAGAGATCTACAGTAATCCAAAAAAGCGAATTTTCACCTCGTTGCGACATCATATACCGATCATACGGTGGCTGCCGGAAGAGCACTTGATACAAAATCATGCCCATGCTGTAGATATCGCCATGAACGGTGCCTTTTGGATAATTTCGGCCAATTTCCAGATTTTTCAAGAGCTCAGGAGCAAAGTTGTGATATGCTAAACGAATACGTTTGTAAAATTTTAGAATTCGAAGGGCTTACTTTGCAATGAAATCAATTCCAGCGGCTTCAAGGTGTCTGCATTGACAAATTCATGTATCATCGTGCTGATCCCGAATTGGGTCAATTTCAAGACCCAATTTGCATCAATTAAGCAATTCTGGGCGGTTAGAAGGCCGTGGTAGCCGATGGCTGATTTGTGGAGGAAGGTGAGACCCTGGAAAATGTGGGGCTAAAGGTACTAGCAAGCCGAATATCGACCTCTCGTGGCGACTATGTCTAGACAAGTACGCGCAAAAAAACTACACACAACAATTCTTGCGAATCTTCGTTCCATGTCAGATTTAAGTGCCAAAATCCTCAGAATTTTATACGCCTTAAAATGTTTCAAAAAATGTTGCAGTCGAGACCTCGTTCAGCTCGATTTTCGAATTCCTAGTACCTTTATGGAGTTTGGAAGGCAAGAGTCTATCGACATAAGCTTCTTAGGCTTTGATAGAGCCAAGACCAAATCCTACCTTTATAATATCCCTTAAAAATGCCGATTTGAAAGTAGCGTCCAGGTTGAAGTCGGTGTCGAGCACAAAGTCCTAAAATGCGTCATTTTATCCAGAAAAACAAATACCTCCAACGAAGCCCTTTCGACAATAGCGTGTAGGACGTAGAAATGTTCCATTTCATTGCAGCAAATTCCCAAAAACCGTGTCAGATTATCGTGGGTGAGCTGCTTGAGCTCGAAGAGGAATTTTAGCTCTGGTCTGAAAAGTTGGAAATAGCAATTTAACTTAAGGGCGTTTTTAAGGGATAGTGACAAGAAGGGAAAAAGTAGAAACCTAGTGGAAATATTACCTGGTCCATCTGATTTTCCGGTTCTGCTTTAAGGCGATAAATTCGGCTTTGGCCGTTCCGAGTAAAGCGTAGCTGGATATCACTCGTCTTTTGCTGCTCAACGTATCTGCCCCTCCACCAGCTGAAAAAGCTGATGTAAATTTTAGCGATTTTGTTCGTTAAGGCCATGAAATCGAGCCCTTTTAGCCATCCGGTCTCGACAGCTACCCGCCACTCAACTTAAGAGTATCTACTAACTTCCTTTTCGCGTTCAACAGCATGAATTTTGCTTTACGAAGTTCAGCTTCAGCGTATTTTGGAGAATGTCAAGATCTAATCAATATCTGAGGCAACCCGGGCAGACCCTTTAAAGGGTCCGAAAGGCATCTTTCCGAATTGTTTTTGCTATATATTTTGCTATATATCTTATCTATATATGTATGTAGCCGCGAGTCAATGCATCACGCTTTATTCTCGCAAATCGTACCTTAAAACCTCGGGTTCCTAACAGTGTCAAGACCAAGAGTTCATCCCCATTTCCTGGAAATCGTACAGGCCGGAGCTGACAAAATTTTTACAACAAAAACCGTCTGGGCCATCTGGGTTACCCCGTGATTTCCGAAAGCTCATTCCGACGGCTTATCGTATGCAAAGATCTTGGAATCAGGGGGACCGGGGCCCCAGTCAGCCAAAACAAAATTCGGGTGGTGGGCGGGACTGTTTTAGGGGGATAGGGGGTAACAGTCTTCATCGGGCCATTCGCTCGAAACATTCGAAGCTTCGCGCAAAAACTGCGCATCCCTCTGTCCTTTTCTCTCTCACTCACTTGCACTCGCTCTGTCTGTTTCCCTGTTTCCTTCTTTCTCTTTTTTCTTCTCTCTCTCTCTCTCTACCTTTCTCTTTCTCTCTTGGCCGTAACTCTCCGGCGCTCTCTCTGGCGCTCTCTGTCTCTTCTCCCTCTACCTTTAACCCTCACTCTCTCTGGCGCTCTCTCTCTCCTTATCTCTCACTATTGGAATATCGAATTCGATGCCTAAATATTGCCTTCTATTTTTGGCCAACTCCCAAAATCATCCTTGGTTCAAAATCCTGCTATGCAAAAGCTACATTTTTCAACCTCGCTCCGCTAACATTCCAAATGCTTCCTACGAACGGCCATTTTAGCCCGCCCCGAATGGCCAGCTACACAATCCCAGGCCTGATGCGTGACCCCTGCCCCGAACACGATGTCCTCTACAAGACACGCCCCCAGGGGATCGTGTGCACGTGTGCGCTTGGAGCGGATCGCGGAGTCAAAAACGTAAGTTTGTCTGGCGTCTACGTCGTCTTCAACAGACTTTAACAGACTTGCTAATGTTCCCAATTTTTAGGCTCGCGCCCGTCGCACCCAGCGCAGCACTCGCCAAATCGTCCTGCCCACCGCCTTTGAAATCCAGGACAACCGCACTACCCAGATGAACCAACTGGCCGTTCCGGCAACCGTACCTCCTCAGAGGGTCGAGATCAAGGGGATTGGGGTGAGTTTTTAAGTTTTGTACGGTCTGTCTCGCTCTCTCTCTCTCACTTGCTTATCTCCCTCTCTCTCTCTCCCTCTTTCTCTCGCTCTCTCTCTCTCTCTCTCCCCTCCATATCCCTTATCTCGAACCCGAAAATCAGGTGATGTAAATTTAGCAAGAGTCGTCTACCACAGTGCTGGAGCAACTGCAAGCCGCTAACTCGTCCGTCACTCTTCGCGAAGTGTTGCAGGTACAAATCAAGACTTCTTCAAAAGCGAGAAAAAGAGAGCGAGAAAGCGTTAGAGAGGGTGAGAACGAGAGGGAACGAGAGAGAACGAGAAAGAGAAGGAGAGCGAGCGAGAGAGAAGGAGAGTGAGAGAGACATCTAAGTGTAGACAATGCTAATCCGCTATTTCAGAAATGGCCGCAAGACAAGTCGTCTTCCAGGGATGGAAAGTCAGCTTCGGAGGAGGTAAATCGTGAATTTTCATCCCAAATAAGATTATTTTTAGCCGAAGCCTGTGACATTTCCGGTCGGGAGAGTGACTGCGAAGAAGCGTGTGGCTCCCGAGGTCAAGTCCGGAACAAGCTCCGCTTGAGTGTCTGCCAGAATCGGTTAACCATGATATTCCAAGCCTTCTAACTCGCATTTTTGAGCCCTTCTGCACTTTCTTGTACGACCATTGCTTTTTGCATGTTGCTGTATCTTACTCACTCTCTCTCCCTCTCTCTCTCTAAGCAATTTTTTCCACTTGTAGAAGAAATGAATCCAACCCGTGATCCTTAATCCATGTAGCTGAATAAATTGTGGATAAAAAGACCAGTTTCACGCTACAAACTACCGAGTAACTGTAAAATACGTACCACTCCGCCCCTTCACTGACGACGCCTTGTTCTCAATGATCTTCAGATTTTCCTTAGCGATTTTCCAGTGCATTCGGAACATGTTCAGCCGATTTCTAGAAAGAAAGTTTCGATAATGAACCACAAAAGGTGCTTACCGTCGTCTGATGAAATAGATGAGGGTAAGGATGACGACAATTCCCAAAATTATACCGCCGCCAATAATGTAGGGTGCATAGTTGCTACAGTCACCGGCTAGGATGCAGGGATCCACCTGTAAAGCGAATAATGTTGCGAGAGAGAGAGAGACAGAGAGACAGAGAAACAGAGAAAGACAGAGAAAGTCTGAGGGAGCGAAACTGAGAGAGAGCGAGAGAAAGCGAGCGAGAATTACGTCTTTCCTTTACCTGCTGCCCCTTCCGATCCTTCCAAATCGAGTCCACATAGTCGATTTCGTTCTGAAAAACCTTATTTTTAACCACAAGTTTTGCTTACTAAAGAGAAGCATATCTCCGTTCCGTGACATTCCAATGGCGTTGCTTTCATTAGCATCACTCGACTGGCATTTGCTGTCGAATCGGAGAAAGCGGCAGCCTGAAGAGAAAAAATTAGTCCAGACAACTTAATACCAGCGTCAAGTAGAGAAACGGAGATAAAGAGAGAGAGAGAGAGAGAGAGAGAGAGAGAGAGAGTGAAAGAAAGGGAAAGGGAAGGCAAAATTTTTACCTCAAAATCCCTAACGAGCGATCCTCCACCATCAAACAGCGATGTGCCCATCAGGTCTAAATTGGTGATTTCCTGGTTTTTCTATGTAATTCCTGAGTGAGCCATTTATCCCGATTTATGCCCGTTTTCTCACTTTTTATGGCCTTAAATTGGGCTCCAGTTCTCAAGGAGTCGCTGCTAGTATGCCGTAATGTATTTTTTTCGCTTGTTTTTATCTCCATGTAATAAAATTGGCTTACTAGTAAAAGTATGATTGGCGAATTGGCTCTGATAACTGTCCCCATTCCCATAATTCTTCTCCGGGCTGAAGCAATAGCCATAACACGCGTTGTACAGCGCCATGAATTGCATAAATTGGGCCGTCTGAAAATAAAATTGAATGTAGTGATTTAATATTGGGTGGCCGCTTACCTTTTCTGTGGTCCAGGTGACTTCGCCTGGCAGAATATCGGCAACGACAGTTTCAAAATTGTCCATCACGGGGGCTAGCTGGAAAAATAGGGTTTATAAGTGCTTTCACATGTAGAAACCAACACGTCTTGTCGCCTAGATTTTATGAGCTACGCGGCACACCAAATATCATGTCAGCAAAGATTCCACCTTTTTCGGCTTTTTGACGAGGATTTTACTGTCGAGATTTAATCGGCAAGAGGTTTCGATTTTGTAGGCTTGCTTTTGCCTTTAAAATGAGCCTGAAATAGCCTTGACGTTGCGTTAAACATAGGCTAAAAAAACTAGCTCAACTTACAAAAATCAGCCCAGCAACTGCGGCTCGATCCCGGATTGGCAGGGCACAGATCTGAAAAAGGAAAAATATAATTCCCTGAAGTCCTAGCTAGTAAGTTCAAAAAAATCCATCGGATTCTCCGCTAGCTTGTCATAATGAAAAAGTTTTGAAAGTCACTAGCGCACGTTTTTAGTTAGCTACATACTTCTCGCCCGGTTTGAACCATAAAATTCTCATTTCAAGTGCGGCAGGGCAAGTTTCTGGCAATTCCCCAATGACCTCTGCTAGCCGACTTTTGGAATACTTGAAAATTACTGCCCTACCTCTGTCGGCATCACGCAAGCAATGACGATCATGAACTTCTTTGCTAGCAGCCCGCCCAGATCCAACTCATCCCAGGCGTGTGCCATATCCGGGAAGTCGGCTCCGACGACAATCACTGAATGATAAAAAAAGTTTTTGGTAGAGTTTAGTAATTTTTGCCTTAACATGGTAGTCTACAAGGGACTCGATATTTCGCAAGACAAAAAGAGACTGAGAACTAAGAAAAGCCTCTTACATTTGGTAGACTGTAGAAGCTCTTCTCTGATGATAGCAAAGTCATCATCAGTGGTGTCACTTTCGTAGTAGCCTTTGACCGTAAGGCCTCCGACTCCAGAATACACCGAATCTTTGATGCCCTTCGCGATCGGGTAATCATCGTCGGTGAGGATTGGGCCAACGATGGCTACCTAAAAATTATTTCTCACTATCTCTCTCTCGCTCTCTCTCTGTCTCACTCTCTCGCTTCTCTCTCTCTCTGTCTAACTATCTTTCTCTCTCTTTCCCTACCTGCTTCTCATTGACCTTGGCGGCAATGATGCCCAATGCCATCGCCAGCCCGACGTACGTTGTAGGATTGAACTGGACGACATTTGGAAAGTTCTGGAAAAAAATATGATTAATTTTGAGGTTCCTTTACGTCAATATTTAATATATCCACAGCCACCGGAGTCCTGGTCAACACCGGCTTCTTGTTGAAGTACGAAAACCGGGCGATCTGCTCGAGCTCATCGACGCAAGGTGGGGCAACGTAGGCGTCAACCGGAAGCAGGAAGATGTGGGAGAAAGGGAGAGAGCAAGAGAGAATGAGAGAGAGAGAGAGAGAGAGAAGAGAGAGAGAGAGAGAGAGGGTTACCTCGTCACTATAATACAGCCGCAATGCATTGACGGTTCCGAGTGCAGGTCTTGATGGTAAACATCCCTCGACCAGGGTTACCCTATTAAATTGTAATACAGGGTGGCCCGAAAGAGTGGTGACCGCAGCTTGCACACAGAATTTCTCTGTTCCCTTATGGGTTTGGGCAAGGCGGGGTTATGGATTCTGTTTCCTATAGATGTTGGCTAAATTTGAGCATACGCTCAGCGCACAACGCAGTCTAGCTTTTACATTAGGAATTGTAATTCCTGAATTCAAAGTCAGGGATTTTTAGAAATCGGCAAAATCTAAAATAAATTCCTGTGGAAGAAAATACTTAACGAGGCCTTTTCCATCTCTTTAACGAGCGTGCCTGACGTTTCCGGTGAAGCTCGTGGTGCAGCTATGGCTCAGAACCCTCCAACTTGGTCAAGTGACTGAGGCCCGTTATTAAGGGTTTTGACCAAACCGTTTTTTGCTCTCCAAAAGAGCCATCCTGCAGCCCCAATCCGAATCTGCAGAATTTTTTTTGTGTAGCCGGTCTGAAAGACCAAAGTGTTGGCTACTCCCGATTCAATTTTGGGTTTGCTCGCGAAAGTCTTCATCGAGTTATGAGCCAAATTCGTGCTCAGTGTCTGCGTGCCAGCACCTCCGTTTTCCATCCGCTTCCGCGCCAGTTTTTCCGAGTTTGAGGCAAACAAATAAAAAAGTGGTTATACCATGTGGAAGATAATTGTTTAAGGAATATAATGTGCTAAAATGAGCTTTCCTTGATCTATAGTTTTTCAGAAAATCGAAAAAGTTTCGGTCACCACTCTTTCGGGCCACCCTGTATAAGAGAAACAATAGCAAAACTTACGTAATATTCTCAGAACAAGCTCCATTATTTGCCGCTTCATCTAGGCCGCGTTGGCAGAATGCTTTTGCCTGAAAAGAATTAAACAGCTACAGTACTGCTTCAGGGTTTTGTTGTAACTTTTCAAATTACTGTTAATATATAAATGTCATGCATAATTTAAGCTATCGATAGTATCCCTGTGTACCCCTTGTCTCGAATCGACAACCACCAGTCGAACGGCTTCAAAACGGACGATGAGGGCGAGTAGAGCAACAACCAGGATCAGCATCGCATTATTCGCATCGTTTTGATCTTCAAAAAAATGTTTGCAGAACACACAACAGCTCAAAAAAAGGCGTGTGCAAACATAAAAAATACAAGTAACAAGCATCAAAATACCTAGAAGAACAGGGGAAAACGATGGAGAATGTGAACTAGGAATCATCCAAAATCCCAAAATTGCTGCTCGTTAGCATATCTTCGTAACTCTTGCACTATTCCAGAACAAGGAAATATTTATCCAAAAAAGAAATAAAAGCGAAAATGATAAGTTAAAGCGACTAGAACTGATTATTCTACCAGTAATGTAAGTAATAAGGTTCTAATATGGCACTCCTAAGACGTCAAAAGTTTCTTTTGCGTTAATGAAAAACTCCAAAATTAGGTAACCATGGATTAAACGGCTAGATTTACGCATACGCTATTATTTCACGCCAAGTATCTTATTAGCCTTAATACGGAATTAGCTAATTAAGTTATGATTCATGAACGAGGCCAACAAGGGACGCTCGCTAAAGAAAATCGCCAAAAAGGTATCGATCGAAGACTTGCTCAAGACTCAAGACTCGAACTCTAACTCTCTAACTCAAGACATTAATTAACGTCTAGTCTAACAAAAAATGAGGAAAGGTATAGAAAATCCTATTAAAGTATGATTCATCAAACACGCAAAAATGAACCGGTTCGATAATCTAGTGCTCCACTTTGTAATAGAAAACGCAATCCAGTGAAGCTATTTTCCCCGGGGGGATGGGCCCCGTCAATCTTTTCTGTTATTGTTACCTGGGCCCTAATGAATGGGTGTGTGGTGGGCCCTAATGAGGGGCCTTCTTTCCGTTTCTCTCCGCTCAAATCACTGCCTTTTCGAGCGGGTATTCAGCCTTGAGACCTCAATTCCGCAATGCCACTCGATTCCGCGCGGATTATCGCGATGAAGACGATACAGATGGATTAATAAGAAATCTTCTATTGTTGTCTAGCGTCTGGACAAAATTTATTAACTTGT